AATATAGACAGTATCTGTAGTATCCAACGTATTTATGAGGATTGGGATATACCTATTAGTGTTCATAGGTACGGTATATAACAATTTTGTCTGATCACTTTCCATGGAAGTAGCATGAGAGCAGTGCGAGACTCACCATATCCCGCCTATGATAGAGAGATTGGGAGGTGGAAAATAATTCTTCTCCAACAAAGACGCGGAGACGCTTTTTAACCCTATCAAAACCGGAAAGTGAGGACCGGGCAGCTCCCACCCAGATATTGCAACAGTCCTCCATTTTTGGACTGATCGGGCTCTTATATGGGTAGAGGATAGCATGAGGAGTCAGGTATTTACCGAAGTGGTACAGAGAGCCGATCATTTTACCTGAATCTTTAGCGATGGATCATATATGAGTTCCGCTTGATGTTGGGTGTGAGTTTGAGGCCCAATATTCTCTATAGGCATTGGAGCCTCCTCGTGGGGACATCTGTTAATCATGACTGTTAATTCAGGCGGTGGTGGAATATAACTAGTTTAGTTTTCGAAGCACTGAATGTAACCAGCCAGTCTTTCCCCATTGGGAAGTTTGTGTTAAAGCAAAAGAGAGGTCAGCTGCCATTCTCTGATCGTCAAGAGGTTCAGAGTTAAGCCCACATATCGTCGGTAATTTAGTAAATATTTAACAAACCCAGTGCCTACTTAGATATCCCAAAGCTTACATAATATCATCCATATTTTTATTGGGGTTACACTTAGAAAACAAGCTATGCCTTATTTTGGAAAAGAAATTTGAATTTCGCACGTTTGATATTAGATATTTGAACTCTTTATGTAATAATAGCTTATATTGTTATTTGTCATCGTAAGAAGTATTTTGCCAAACAATTTTAATTTATTAATATATTCATTAAGTAACAAACTGCAGCAATTTCAATTGAATCCGTTTAAAATACAACCAAACTTAAAAAGAATTTTTTAAAATACTGATCCCCTTTGCATATGCTAATTTCTAAGAGAAATTAAATTGATCTGAAAGATATAATTTAAAAATATACCCATAAATATCAGCAGTTTTATTATTTAAAAAGTAATTTGTTGACTATTTAGATACAAGGCTTTATTTAGGGGGGGGGAAACATTAAATAATCAGCATTAAAAGGCCCAAAGGCCGTAAAACAAACAAAAATTGTTGAATATTTCTTTTTAGATTGATACAGAGTATACTTAACTTCGGTGAATCTACAGGAACTGGCATTTCAACATGATGTGACCGTAAGTCTTATCTTTTTAGGAGAGTAGACATTAGTAAATGTTGTACAATGCTACTCAGGCTTCACAAAGATTAAATTATATTAAAGCATTCATTGGGCACCTCGGTGTGGCGTAATGGTTAGCAAGCTTGTTTCACTAGAACAATTATGACTGAGTAGTGAGTTTGATCCTCACTGGGTGCACAATACTTTCAGCCTTGTGCCACATCTAAGCAGCGCTTAGAAAATCACTATATTAACGCATTCATTACATCCTTGCATATCTGTATACCTTACATCATTAGCCTTCTACCTCTCTTTGGGAAACTAGTAGAGGCTCTAAACAATACTGAATTGGTTCATCATCTCTCATCGCAGGGCCTTTTCTCAGACAAGCAATATGACATTTGTAGCTGAATTATTTTCAATACGGGTATAGGATTTAGAAAATACTTGGTTTGAATGCGGTTTGATATTTCAGGCGAAAATTTTAAGCAGTATTGGTACTTTTATGATCAAATTTTAAGCATTAAAGGTACTTTTATGATCAAAACATATTTACAGTGTTCTTGGACTCTTTTTGAATCACAGAAGACGACATAAGCTTCTTTTCTTTCTTTTTTTACTTGACCAAGAAGACTTAAGTATTCTTTTATTACTTGACCCATAACAATTAAAAGATCAACTGCTGATGTACTTACGATAATTGCAGAAAGAGCCTATCATGCTCTAGGTAAAAAACAGTGAAGCCCGGGCTGTAGCTTTGGACATCTTGAAAGCCTTTGACACGGTTTGGCACGCAGGTCCTCTCCACAAGCTGAAAAGTTACGGTCTCCCCGGGCACTTTTTGAACTGATCCAGTCTTTCCTATCAAGTCGAAAAATGAAAGTTATTCTGAAAGGACACTCGTCTAGATCCTTTCATACTAACGCGGGTCTCAACACCCCCCTCCTCCCCAGGGGTTCCATCCTTGGTCCTACTCTGTTTCTAATTTTCATTAATGACCTTCCTGATGACATCAGCTCTCAACTTGGAATTTGCGCTGATGACACAACAATTTACTCCTGCTTCGACAGAAAGTCTGATCAGTCCGTCAAGATCAAAATGGCAGCCGATGTCCAAAATGACCTTAAGTCCGTCGTTAAGGGGCAAAAAATTCCTTGTTAATTTTAACGCTTTCAAAACTAAACTTCTCTCCATTAATCATCTGAGAGACCTATTGTAGCATACCTACGGACTATAATGCGTATGTCCCCATTCACATAAATACAGTAGTAAATACTGTATGTTGGTCTGCAATTGGAGATTCATTGTGGAATTCATTTCATTTCACTCACTTCTAGCAGTTGACTACTTCTTCTACGCGCCGCTGGCGAATCTTACGTGTGTTGTTCTTGTCCTAAGTATTATCGTTCATTATCAACCTTCGTGTGATTATTCTATTCTGTAACCTTTCCTAAGTTACAACAAGACCCATTTTTGCCTTCCATCAGCATGGCTGATGCTAACCTCCAGTGACTTGTTGCACCTTCTCGGGCTCACGTTCTCTGTTGATATTAAGTGGAAAGACTATATTGAATCTATTGCTAGGCCAGCTGCTTAGAAAGTCGGTTCACTTTGTCGAGCAAGACAATTTTTCTCTCCAGAATCTATCTTGGATATCTATAAGTCTACCAATTGTCCATACTTGGAGTATTGTTGCTGCATATGGTCTGGTGCTCCTGCTATTTACCTTGAGCTCTTTGATAAGATCCGAAGAAGAATCTGCAATATTATTGGTCCTGGTCTGGTGGCTCGAATCCAGTCCCTTTCCCACCATCATAAGGTTATCTTTCTATGTCTTTTTCTAAAAAATGCTTTCAGGGTAATTGTTCAGATGAGCTTTTCGCTATGGTACCAAGCGTTTTTTTTTAATTTAAGCGCAGCACTAGGCTCGCGTTGAGATCTCATCAATTTACAGTTTAGGTGGCTAGATACAGCCGTAAATTATAGGCTAAGAGTTTATTTTCTCGCACTTCTCGCTTGTGGAGCTCCCTTTTGGAACCATGCTTTCCAGCCAATTTTAATCTGCCAAAATTTAAATGCAATATCAATCGCTATCTACTGTCGTCCCGATTACTCTCTTCTCTTTCTGCTCATCATTAATGTTTCTGTTCCTAATTCTTCCCCCTCACCCTGTAACTCCTTGTCTTTTAGTGGCATTACTTCCTTGCTTGGGGTGATACCGATTAAAAAAAAAGACAATCTTCTTTTGCCGGCATGTCTACGAAATGAAAACACAGTTTAGTTTCACTCGGTATCTGTTGTATACATCACGAGAAATCTTCAGCATCTTTTTCGTATCTCGGCAGACTCTCAACTACGTCATCGTCGTAATACTTCCAAAATGTATTATTAAGGTAATGCTCAAGATACGGCAAACCCCCCATCGTGTACAGGTGACAAGAAATTGGTTCAAAGACACTAGACTCACTTCTAGGCACGACAGTTGCAGACACGCACGCTCTCAAGATTTCAGCCCCATTAAGCATGTATAAAACATAATGTAGACTTCATTGAACTACCTGAAGCCACACCCAAAAAACACAACACTTTTATGGACAGACTTGAAATCTGCCTGGAGCAATATGTCCACGCAATGACTTCAGCACTTCGTAGGCTCTATGTCACGTTACATAGCCGCCGTCATTCAGGCTAAGTGTGCAGCTACAAGTTATTAGGTAGATGTCTGGAATCTTTTTTCTTTTGCATTTTGTTTTTTTTTTTTTTTTGTATTTCATATTATTTTCAGTTTTGTGTAAATTCTTCTTCTTCTTCTTCTTCTTCTTCTTCTTATTATTATTATTATTATTATTATTATTATTATTTTTAATAATAATGTTTTTGTTGTTGTTGTTTTTATTGTTGTTGCTATTTTCGCCAAATCTTACACTTTTTTTGTACTTTTTACAAATATTTCTACTGCAAGCAACTATAATGCATCTCCTCCTCCTCCTCCTAATTATTATTATTATTATATAAATGTTGTATAGAGTCTGTATGAGACATAGTACAGACTTCATTGAACTAGCTGCACCTCCCCAGCAAAAAAAAAAAAAATGTACAGACCTGAAACCACGCAATAACTTCAGCACTCTGTAGACAATCTGCTACGTCATATAGCCGCCGTCATTCAGTCTAAGAGTAGATCTACTATTAGGTAGGTATTTTCTTTCTTTTTTCTTTTTTTTTTTTGTTTTTGGTATTTCAATTTTTGTGATTTATTGCTCTTCTTTTTTCTTTTTCATCATCATCTTCATCATCATTATTATTATTATTATTATTATTATTATTATTATTATTATTGTCGTTGCTATTGTTGTTGCTATTTTCACTACCACTCTTCTTTTTTACTTCTATTACAAGCAATACTGCTGGTACTACTTCTACTACTACTACTATTACTACTACAATGTCTACTGCTACTACTAATAATAATAAAAAAAAGCGTTCCTATTATTAATAATATAAGGGCAAAGAGTACAGCCTTTTGATTATTGTTTGCCCCAACTTGCACGCTATTTTTGCAATGTGTTTTTTTTTTCTGCTATGAATTTCTATATTCTTCCGAATGATCTTAATGTCCCATTGTTCATGAGAAATGGCTTTTTAATTTCCTTGCTTTTACTTTTCTATCAATATATATATATATATATATATATATATATATATATATATATATATATATATATATATATAGACAGACATATAAATAGTTTTCTTCTTAAGAACTATCACCGCACGCTGGCCAGCCTTTCGTTGCACTTTTTTTTTCGTTAATCCCCTACACCGACACCATCCCAATCCGCCGCAGGTCAATGGTCGAATCGCTTACGCTGCTATGCGTTTGTTTACTCGCAATTCAATCCTTACAACCCCGGGAATTGTATTTGAATGACTGCACAACGAAATACTTAGTTTGGTACTCAGTTAAATTGCATGCAAGCAAAACACAAATATCAAAGATGCAAAAATACAATAAAAAGAAAAAAAGTCATATGCAGTTGGTTTGATTGATTTGTAGACCTGGCTATTAATTCAGCTACCTATATAAAAGTTCATATATATATATATATATATATATATATATATATATATATATATATATATATATATATATATATATATATATATATATATAATTTATACGAAAATTATAACATAAATATGTTATAAAATCAGTAAAAAAATAGCCATTTTATTTCAACACTTCTGGTGTCTTATCAAGTGATGGTGTTGAATGTAGAATAAATAAAGCCTTTATTCTACATTCAACACCATCACTTGATAAGACACCAGGAGTGTTGAAAGAAATGGCTGTTTTTGTAGTGATTTTATAACATATTCATGTTATAATTTTAGAATAAATTATATTTGTTCTACTCTGTATTGAGCAATCTTTTAAAATAGTATTTTTGGGTTATTAGAATTTTATTCCGTACACATCAATCCTATTCTTGTATATATATATATATATATATATATATATATATATATATATGTGTGTGTGTGTGTGTGTGTGTGTGTGTTTTCCCAGAATCTATCTGATATATCTATAAGTTTACCATTCGTATGTGCTTAGAATATTGCAATTACATATAGTTCCCCTGCTATTTACCTTGAGTTTCTTGATAAAATCCAAAGAAGAATCAGCAATATTATTAGTCCTGATCTGAAAGCTCGGCTTAAATCACTTTTCCACTGCCGTAAGGTTGCCTCTGTGTCTTTTCTATAAACTCTTTTATGGCAATTGTTCGGATAAGATCTTCGCTGTGGTTCCTACATTTAATTAATGTTAAGTTAATTTTTAAACACAGTACTAAACTGGCATCGTAACCTCATCAATTTACAGTTGAGTTGGCTAGATGTCGCAGTTAGTTTCTTTTCTTTTCTCGCATTTCTCGCTTGTGGAACTCCGTTTTGTAGGAGTAAGGAAGTAAGGACATTTTCCATAATTTTCATTGTCCCAAGCGCTTTCGGCCACTTCAGCCATTTTCAACTGTGGGGGTGGGGTTGGTGTTGTTAGTTTTTCCTCATGTTTTGACTGTTTAAGTTGTATTTTATTTTGTGTTTCGCCTGTTGAGAGAGGCGTGAGTGTCTATCTATTAAAAAAACTGTTCACACTTCATTCCCATTGTTATATAAGATGTGATTGATATTAGGAGAGTAATGATTGATATACAAGGACCTCTCTAATGGGTCATCGCAAGTTTAGATTTCATGGGGTTATTTTGATTAGTGACAAGTTATATGATTTTCCATTTTCTGTAATATAAGTTTTACATGTTTTTCGGTAATTACTAAATGGAAAAACTAAATAAAAAGTTAATTAAATCTTCCTTGTCTGCCATATTTAACGATGTGCACACACACACACACAAACATATATATATATATATATATATATATATATATATATATATATATATATATATTCAGACAGGTTTCGTTAAATTATTTAAACACGTTCTGTCTACTTATTTTCGATATGATCCTTTCATAAGGACGAGAGGAAACACCGTGTCGGTCTCATATTGTATTTATTCCAAGTACTTTCGACATAGCATAACCTCTTTTTTTCTGTCTTTTAATTACTTCCCTTCTTTCTATCCCTATTTGTCTCTTGTTCTTCTTTTCCTTAGTTTTCTCTCTCCTTTTCTCTCTCTACCTTTCTTTTACCTTTCTATCTTTTTATCTTTTCTCGCACTCTCTTTCTTTCCTTATTTTTCCTCTGTTTTTTTTTTCAGTCTCTCCCCTCACTTTCTTTTTTCTCATATTTTTCTCTCCGTTTTATTTCTCTCTCTCTCTCTCTCTCTCTCTCTCTCTCTCTCTCTCACACACACACACACACACACACACACTTTCATCATCTCTCCACCTTTTTATTTTTTAATCTCTCTTTTGCCTTGTTTCTGCCTCTGTCATTCTCTTACACTCTTTCTTTCCTTATTTTATCTCTCTATCTTTACATATGCTTTTTTCTATCTTTTACCATGACTTTCCTTCTCTCTATCTCATTCTACCATTCTCTCTATCTATTTCTTTCTCCCAATCTCTTTCTTTCCGTATTTTTCTCTCTTTTTATCTCTCTATCCTTTTACCTCCTTCTTTCTATCTTTTCGTCTCTTTATTTCTTTCTCTTTCTATTTCTTTTTTTACTGTCTCTTTCGAGACATCTTTTCTTTCTGTATGCTGTGTTATCTATATTAAAATTCATGACGTAAATTGGTCAAGTGATTCATTTGTCAACTAAAAGTTTGGTGAGTGATATACCACGTTTTTGTCTTCTTGTGTGAAGACATTTATTTTAAAATTCGACTCACATGCAAGAGTACATTGCAGCAAATATCTCATTGTAAAAAAAGCAAGTAGAAAAAAGATGGTGAAAGAAAGACGAGTCAAAAATGAATAATAATGACAAGGCTTCATCTAAGTAATTCAGACAACTTAAGACCATTACACCTACTACTACAACTACTAGGTGTAAACAAGCAACAAAATCAGTCAAAAATAATTTCATGCTTGAAAGCAATCTTCAGGCCTTGTGTGTCTACTTATATATGCTGATTAGTGAGGCATTATGGGTAGTAAGGTCAGATATTTCCGGTTTAATGTATTATCATTGGATAGGCGGAAACCGTTTGGCTAATACATTCGGTGTCTACCTCAGTTACCACCTTTATATTTACATACGGTCTCTCCATGTTTATTAAGCACGTTTACCAATAATTATAACATCCCTGTAAACTATATATATTTATCACACACACACACATATATATATATATATATATGTGTGTGTGTGTATAATTATATATAACGGATGGTATATATATATATATATATATATATATATATATATATATATATATATATATATATATGTCCTTTCTGACAAACCCAACGAATCAAAAATACATTGTTCTACCCAATAACTCTATCATAATTACAGCTGAAAAGAATATATCGAAAATCAGTATAAAATTTTTCACAACTACGTCTATAACAATAAAAGACATAAGTAATATAAAACAAAATAATAAGCTAAAACTTAAGGAGGAATTTACTCTATTACCTGTAATAATTGTCACAAGAAATACATCGGAGAAACCTTAAGAAATTTCAATTAAAGAATGTATGAACACAAAAGGGATCTGTTAAAAACAGCACATAAAATGAATCAGTTGCTCACCATAATTTTAATTTAAAAAATGCTACTCTGATTAAAAAGAAAGAAATTTTAGAAGACGAAAATGCAGAGAAATTGCTTTAATCGCTAGTTTTAGCTGGGGCTGTAGAATACGCCGAATGCACCTCTGCAGAGGGGTAAGACACCCCCTCCCAATGGAGCGTCCTGGGTATGACGATAAACTACGTCCAACAGCAAGACCTCTGATAAGGAGGTTTTGAGGAGCGTGGAACCACCTCTTAATTGCTAGTGTTCCCAGGTCCACTCTAACCCGTGGTGGTAGCACCTGTTAGGGTCCCAGATATGGGTAAATAGTTAACACCGAAATTGAGGTAAAAAGCATTATAAAAGTGTAAAAATAGGTTTTAATACCAGAAATACTTTCAAAAAATTATTACCAGAAATTAATTTTTGAAAAAAAATATTACCAACAATACGTTTTTGAAAAAAAATTAACAGCAATACATGTGATTGTACTCAAAAATATGAGTAATTGAAAAATGATTGAAATATATATGTATAAATATATACACCCTTTTTTTACCAAATTATTACTATGTATCTGTTTCAAAAATTTTGTTGGCATTAAATGAACACTTAGGTTGATATGCCATAAAACAAAACAACGAAAACAAGCAACTTCACAGAAAATTTGCGTCCAAGTTCTTACAACATTTCACCATTCTTGGCAGATCTTCTCTGGTCACAATGTTGGATATACAATAAGAAAATTGATGGAAACAAAAAGAAAAAGAATCTAAATGAAATCAGCTGGATTATAGACCCGAAACACATATGAAAAAATGATATTTTTAAATTGAAAATCCCCAGCGTCTCTTGTTCGTGCGTATGTGTAGTCGTATCAACGTAAACGTCAACTTCATCTGATGAAGTCCTAAAGAACGAAACACCTCACAGGAAAACGATTTACACTTTGACATACTTTTTTCATTTAAAATTGTTCTTGATATACAAAAACATATATATCATTATCCCCACAATATATATATTTATATATATATATATATAAATACATACATATATATTCATATGTATATACATATATATATATATATATATATATATATATATATATATATGTATATATATATATATATATATATATATATATATATATATATATATATATATATACATATGTATATACATACATATATATACATACATATATATATATATATATATATATATATATATATATATATATATAAAACATATATATCGTTATCCTCCCATATATATATATATATATATATATATATATATATATATATATATATATATATATATATATATATATATATAAATATACACATATATATATATATATATATATATATATTAAAAATGAGAGAAACTGCAAACGTTTTTGATATTTTGCTACACGGGTTTCCGGTTTTGCAACTGTCATCAGGCAAAGGGTGGAGATTTCACATATTATTAAAAATAATTAATTTTTTCTTTTTGTTTTTCGATGTTAAATATTCTCTATATGAGACATTCTCTTTTTTGTGTTAGTGATCCAAACGTCTTTCTTGAACTGGCAGTAAAAAGTTCTGCTTGAAGGGTTATAAAACAATTAAGATTGGTTCGAGAAATGATGGTGTAGTTATCGGCATGCTTATTTTTTAATGACAGTAAGTGGTGTAAGAAAAAAACAGTGCTCAATCTTAAATAACACTGCTATTTAATATATAAAGAAATATACAAAATGTATTACATTGATTTCTCAACTGAAGAATGCAGGACATATGAAACTCCGAGTTGTGCAATCAATGTAAGATATTATGAATATTTCTTATATATATATATATATATATATATATATATATATATATATATATATATATATATATATATTAACAATATACATAATATCTTACATTAATTGTACAACTCGGAATTTCATGCCGAAGCAATTTTCAATTGCTGGAATAATATTTATTTTTATTTATATTTATATGTTGGGTCAACACACCGGTTTAAAAAAAAATTATACTCTTGGACTTCAATGTTTGTCGTGCTCATTACAATCTTTAACAAATATTGGTATAAATGAGATGCTAAGATGATTCCTTTATATATCATTTTTCAAAATCTCTGCGTATGAAATCAAAAAACATATATTTTGGTATCATAGTAGTAATTGGAATAATTCTATATAAGTAAACATTTATTTTTTTTAAATTTCCAGATATGTAAAACGTGTGCGTCTCGAGCGTGTTCGTATATTTGTCTATGCGTTGGTGTCTATGTATATCTCTGTCTGTAAATTTTTAGTTTAATTTATTGTATGTTTATGATCAGTACTGCTGACTGATATATTTCCTCAACACTACCTCAGTCACACTCCTCACCCTAAACCTCCAGTCTACGAGTTACGGCTGCCACTTTCTTTGATTTTCGTCGACTTTAATCGGGCTAAATTTGATTTGCTCTTTTTCAATGAAACAAATTATTTAAAATGGACATTTGAAAACAATAAGTTGAAATAAAAATGCGTTCTTTGGAAAACTGGGTATACAAGTCATTAGGGATTTTTAAAAGAGTATTTATAAAATTAAAGCAAGAAATACATTGCCTATTAAGTATGTCTCTAGCTATAATCAGGTTCAGACCTCCTCAGCTCGACAAGCTACGTTAATTTTATTTCATTCTTTTTTTTACTTTCTTTCATGGTTTTTTTTTTCCATCTTTCTTTCTTCTGTCTTTCTTATTATGAAAATTATTAGTTATGAAAATTATCAACGATATGTATTTCGATCAATATTTTGAATCACGGAAAACAATTAATTTTAGATCCAGCCGAAGTCAAGAATGAAAACGACGCACTAGAAAAGAACTTTGTAGCTTTGAAATGTTGAATGTTGACTCGACACTGATATATATATATATATATATATATATATATATATATATATATATATATATATATATATATATATATTCTGCATTTCACAACCATTCTATTTTTTTTATTAATAAATATTTTACCGAACATAAATAAATTAAAATTATAAAGGTTTTACATTATTATTATGCGGGATATTTTACATAAAATTTATACATTCTAATAATTAGCAGTTTCCTTATAAGGAAGCATTCAGCATTCATTGGCCACGCTGCTAGTACTACTTTTGGTTGATATTCATAAAATGTTTCTACAACTAAAACAATTTTTCAGGAAAATAAGCTCCTCAATTTCACTGTTATTGTTCGCTCCAGGATTGACAGTGGTGGGGTGTCCTAACCTTTTATCTGAAATAACGTACTTAGTAACGTACTTATTAGAAATAACGTACTTAGTAACGTACTTCTTTGAAATAACGTACAAACCACGTTGTAAAAACAAATTATATAGAATAGCGTATCGATTGTCGGCGTGGAAAGTCAGATCGGAATGAGGCGTTCAATTTCGAGTCGTGGTCGATACATTTACTTTCTTTGGGAATGGTAAGAATTTATATCTTCTCTACCAGCCCCACCAGTTCTGGATTAAATAGCAGTATAGACTGGGCTATCAAGCCTTGGCAGGCAATCAATCTACGAGAAGGAAAACTTTCAAACGCACCGGAAACAGCGCTTTAACCTGCCTACGCTACCAACAGGATGGCGATAATTAATTGCTAACGCACCAAAAAGTTCTGGACAGCGGAGTCAAATCGATAACCGATAACCGATAACCTGGTCCTCAAAGGTTAAGGTGAAACACTTTTATTAAGCCAATATTGCTAATATTATTTAAATGCAAAGCACTCAAAGATACAATTGTAGAGCAGAGCAAAGGAAAGGGAGTTCTCTATTTCAACGTTGGGTATTACTGCAAGTCTAGTTTAAAGAACAAAATGTTGCTCATAATGAGGTTAACTTTCATTAAAAATTAAATATCTCTTGTTTTTAATTTAAATGTATTATGATATATCGTTTGAATATTCTATACAAAAAAGTAAGACCGTTTGCCACATGTACACTTCGATAATTAAGTTTGCTACAGTTTTTTATTACTGTTTTTAT